TGTATAGTTTTCTTGACTGAATTGGGTGAAGTTCTGCAACGTAGATATTGGCAGTTGAAGCTGAGATTCCAATTCATAAGTGTTTTTTCATTCAGTTTTTTTTTTTTTTTTTTTTTTTGAGACAGAGTCTCGCTCTGTCGCCTGGGCTGGCAGTGTAGTGGCAGTGGCGGGATCGGCTCACTGCAAGCTCCGCCTCCGGGTTCACGCCATTCTCCTGCCTCAGCCGTCCCAGAGTAGCTGGGACTACAGGCGCCCGCCACCGTGCCCGGCTAATTTTTGTATTTTTAGTAGAGACGGGGTTTCACCCATGGTCTCGATCTCCTGAGCTTGTGATCCGCCCGTCTCAGCCTCCCAAACTGCTGGGATTACAGGCGTGAGTCACCGGCGCCCAGCCTAGTATTTTTGACATGGCGTGTTTTTTTTTTCCTATGGATTCTGTTTCTTCTATCCTCAGGGACCTTTATCTAATATATCATTTTGATTTACTGTAATCTTGGCTACTTCTCCTTAAAGTAAACATCACTTCCTTTCCCTTTTACTACAATAATAATCCTCTGATCATTGTGGGCAGCTCAGCAGTCAAAACTTACCATGCTCTGCTGTCTAGAAAAGTTACATTACAGATTTAATGCTCCCCTACACATTTTCTGACAAATGTCACTACTTAGAGATGCTAGTCTTCCCCATATTTGCACTTAAAAAAAAAAAGTGCTTCAAAAAAATTTTAAAGGACACCCCTTCCTTTTGTGTCACGTGATTGTACCAGGGTTACTATAGAGTGCTTTTAACTCATTATGTCTCCACAAAGGAGAATTTAGTCTTCATTATTCAGTAGGAGAATGTATGAACAAAAGTCTAGCATTTCTCCTGTATAGGGGAAACAGTTATTTGAAGATTTGGAAAAATAGGAACCATCATCCTTCTGGGTATGGGTTCCCAATTTCACTGCCATTAAATTGACAGTATAAACCAGTGTTAAATTAATATTTACTGATGTTTATCTTTGTGATCTGCTTATGTTGTTCTTCATTCCTTCACAGAATTCTGTATTTCCCTCTCACACTATTTCCTTCTGCCCAAAGACTTCCCTTTATTATTCTGTTAGAGTAGATTTGCTAGTTATAGATTCTTTTTTTTTTTTTCTCTGAAGATATGTTTACCTGTCATTCATTTTTGAAGAACATTTAAGGTGGGCATAATAGTCCAGGTTGAGAATGGTGTTCTTTCACAGCACATGAAAGTTATCCTTCCGTTGCCGTCTGGCTCCCATCATTTCTTTCGAGGAATAAGCTCAAAGTATTGCTCTGTTGAAAGCAGTGTGTTTATCCTCAGCCCTGGCCACCTTTAATATTTTGTCCTTGGCTTTGTTTCTTAGAAGTCTTGCTAACTAAAATACGTATGTATGTGGTTTTCTTCATATTTGTTATCTCTGAGATATGCAGAGTTTTATACCTTTGACCAATTTTTGAAAATTTTCTGGGATTATCTAAACAGATATTGCTTCTGTCTCAGTTTTGCCTCTCTTTCCAGAACACACTTTTTGGTAGTATTCTGTTTTTTGTTTTTTTTTTCTGTTTCAGTTTGGATATTTTCACATCTTTGGGCCTTGTGGCCCCGTAGGACCTCCTGGCTGGGACAGCCAGGTTGGAAGCTGGTTGGGCCAGGAGCCCAGTGGTATGATGAGCAAAATACATGGGGTGGGTGAGGGAGACCTGCAG